ATCTCAAGCTCTTCGCACTCACGTATTTCGGCCTCTCTCTTTTTATTGCGGCAAATACGTCTCGCTTCCTTCTTCAGTTCCCTATAACGGTCCCACATGGCTCGCGTTGCGCCCGATCGCAGCGTGGCCCTGTAGGCGGCATCTTTTTTCTCTGCGGCTTCTTGACATTCCTCATCGTACCAGTTGTTCTTTCGGGCTCGCTGAAATCCAACTACTTCGGCGGCGGTACTTAATGATCGGGAAATGTGGTTCCACTGCTCGCGTACGTCGGATTGTTGAAGAGTGCTCTCAGAGAGCAGGTGTGTGAGTCGAGTGGCGACTATTTGAGCAAATAAATACTGGATCGGACGTACTGTTTGAACCTCTAAAACTACTGTACAAGAAGAAGAATGACAACAAGAAAATATTAAGGACAGATATGGAAGGGAATACACCGACTACAAAAACAAAGGGGGTAAAAATCACGGACTTCTACCTGCCGTCAAAAACGAGCCAAAACAATTCATCTACCTATTGAGTACCGCAAACACTGCAAAACTAAAAAAGACGTACCTAACAAAAGAAAGAGGTAGTTAACAAGGAGTATAAATACGAGCAACCAACAAAAATTATGCAGAACGAAAAATGACACTGAAGATGGCACAACGCCGAAACCGGTTTGTCTCCAAACCAAATTTGACAAGGGATGACGGAAATTCGTTCCATAATACATCATACACCCACCCTGTCGGAAACAACAACAACCAAAAAGGAAATCACTTTTTTTACTTTTTAGATTATTCTCACTTTTTGCGTATTCTTTAATTTCCGTTGATTTAAATTCAGTCGAGTTTGACACTTTTCAGGATTTTGCCAGAAAAAATTCTTCTGACTAAATCTGACTACTTCGGACTGATGAGAGTCACTCTCACCGAGTGTTGCTCTCTCATTTTTGCTGTCATTTCCGAGTTAAGGAACGCTTTTTGGACTAAATCTGACTACTTCGGACTTTTTCTGACTATTTCTGGGAGATAAGGAACGCTCCTTGTATACAAACAGACGGACAGACAGACAGACGGACAGACGGACATGGCTAAATCGACTCAGCTCGACGTTCTGGGCATGATTCACGTATGACGACAATCGTCTGAACGATATCGTGTCGTGATTGTCTTGCTTCATGAAAACCAAAAATTGGTTGATCGATTGTGCGATATCGTAAACACGATTCCAATTTTGCTTCACGTAACAGTAACACGTAACAGCAACACAAATGCATAAATCAGTGTTTTGACGACGTCGTTTTGTCAGTATCGTTTGAACGACAATCGTTTCAAAGTTACGTGATTCATGCCCAGATCATTTAAGTATACATTTTAATGGGTCTATCTCTACTTATTCTGGTACTTACAAACATCCGACCAAAGGTATAATACCATTTCATGCTCATGAAAGGTACAAAAATTCAGTGTCATTGTGCTTATCTCTATATATGTATATAAAAATGGTGTGAAAAATATATAGTGATTCATCAATTGAGAACGGTTGGGCCGATTTGGCAAATTTTTTTTTTTAGTTGTTCGTTGCCAGGAGAAGGTTTTTACGAAAGAAAATTTTGGAAAAACCTTCCGGGAAAGTCGGGAAATTGGAAAAATCGAAAATTGATTTTTTTGTATGGAATTTTCGTGCAATTCCTTCGGAATGGATTTCGAATGGAAAAATAGAAAATTCTAAGTGTAAAACTCGGAAAAATCCGGAAGAACGCGAGAAATTTGAATTTTTTTCGACGAAATTTTGCATTTTACCGCATGATTTGATGGTTTTGGACAATGTAAAGGTGGAAAATTCGTTGTAAAGCTTGGAAAATTTCGGATAAGTGTGAAATTTATTGTGAGCATTAATCAATTGGGAACAATTTTTTCTATGTTTCATAACCGATTCGAATGGTTGTTGCTTTTTTGGAAAGGTTTGTAGGAGTGCACAAAATTTTAATTTTTCCGATAGGTGGCGCAGGGGTCTAGATACGCTAAAAAAGAAAAAGAATTTGGTACGTAGGTAG